TTCTGCTCTCGTCATCCGCCACATCCTGCGGCGCCTTCATCCACCGGCCGCCCACTGTACCGTCTCGTGGTCATGTAAAAGCATTTTATTTGTTTTTTCTCTACTCCCTAATTATCAGGCCAGTTTGTACGATTGTGATTGAAAATTATCCAGAAACTGAATTTCTTAATCATTCTAAAATTTACCAAATGAATCTTATAATGAGGAGCATTGGTCGCCAGGCAGCGGTTCACAGCGACGACAGGTTCACAGGTTCGTTCATAATACAATTAGAAAAATTCATGGATTATGTCTAGATAGTGACACTATATATTTACCAATGCCATGCAGGGTCAAGATGACCCACCTATGGTGGGTCAAGTATTATGAATAGAACTTGGGTAATGGATGTGCCTTACAGCCCGCCCAACGTTTTTTTTTTTGTTTTATCAGCATAAGACTTCATTTTAGGTCAAGAATAAAATTTAGGAAAACTCACTGTAAAAGTTAATGTTCCTTTTTTGTCCGGTGAGAAAACGTGGTTTTTAAAATTTTTTTTTATTTGTTTTCTTTCAATGTTTTTAGTTTTGTAACCACCAGAAAAACGTGGTTTTTTTTAAATTGTTTTTTTTTTATATATTTATTTATTTTCTACTTTTTAGTTTAGCAATTCAAATCTTTTTCAAGGGTTGGCAACTTTAGTTGTTTGACAAAAAAAACACGATTCCCAACCTTGAATTTTTTCTCTCCACACAAAAGTCGGTTAATTAATTTAACAATTTTTAACTAAAAACTTATTAGTTATAATGATCCAATCTTGAATTGTTAGGCAGCATAAGCATGCAATATGCATGCCAAATTTCAAGTTTCTAGGATCTTCAGAACTCAGAAGTGCTCTAAATTAAGGTTTGAATTTTTGATGACAGACAGACACGAAACGAAGTCAAGAGAAACGTGGTAAAATAGGTGAAATTACAATATTTGAATTCAAAATAAAATTTAACGTCTTCCAGTTCAACCATGTCAGTAGTTAAAGATCCATGATTTAAGTCATTACACCGATGCAGCCAAAACATCATAGATCCCATTCAAATCAATTTTCTATGTTAGTATAGAAAACGTTAAGGGTAGAACTATAACAACAAAGCTCATAGTTCATGTCCACTCTGCCAGTCTGCCACTGCCGTCCTCATGGACGAATAGATTATTTTGTTCATTTTCCAACAGCTGATCGACGCAATCACAAGAAGTTTTTCGACAGTGAACTTGCAGAAGACCACTGGACGCTAAGCGTTCCGGGGACGCGATGTTTTGACATCGTTTGCGCGACCGATAATATCGCATGATGGCAGGCAATGTCAAGGGATGAGTCTTAATGAAAACGCGACGTTATTTGATGAATGAAATCTCGTGCAGCCAGCCAAAAAACGGGGTAGGGATAGGCAAATTATATTTAGTATATTTTAAATGGAGAAAATATCCGTATAATAAGATAACCATGCTCGTAGCAAGTAAGATATATGCCAATTTTCATGATAACTCAATCAGTTACTGCAGTTAGTAATTCCTGTACAATATTCACTATTAACGAAGTCTCCGATAAAAACGCTCCACATGCTCAGTACTTCTTTTTGAAGGACAGAACAAATCTTTCAGCGTTATTTGCAAATGAAATTAAAAAACTATAAAGCTTTAAATTTAAGAAGGTGATGGAAACGAAGGAGTCAGTGACTTGAAAAATATAATGTATTGCATAATTTCGTATTATTGCAGGGTTATTTAGATGGAAATTTGATGGTCTCCCCAGTCAAGCGAGGTAGGGGGCGCTGCTCCCCCGTTACCTGGGAGGAGAGGGGGGAAGAGGGGTAAAAATGTCTCGGAGACCAGCGCCATGATCAGTTCAATAATACATAGAACGTGAGTAAAATCAGAGCAAAATATCGATAAATAAAGATAAATATCTGTGCCGGCAAATAGATAGGGCATCAAGAAGAATGCATGGATATCGCGTCGCGATAGTGAATTTATCCGTAAATTGAGTTTCGGACATTATTGCAGAATATGAAACACCTGTCATCAATTATTGAGGCCAATAGAACTGGTATATTGAAAAGGAAATTACTTAACTCAGTTCTTGAACATGAACCGTGACGTGGAACTGGGAAGAGGGTATGGCCATGATTAGTAAGTTACTCCCAAATAACCAACTTTTACTTACGTGTTCAAAATAAGGTCGTTTGTAGTTGATGTGGCTATAAAGCTTAAAATAGCTTAAATTATATCTGATATAATATTATTTTACCGATGAATTGACTGGGAAGTTAATTCAATTGTAACTAATGGAACGTTGGCAACGAGTGCGTGGGCGTGGCTGAGTGCCACGTCGAGGGTATGCGTGAGCAGGGCTCCCAGCGCTGGGTTTTTCCACCCAGATCTGGGTTTTTTGGCCGTCACCTGGGTGTCTGGGTGGATTTTTCTTTTAAATTGCAAAATCTGGGTTTTTTCGTTAAGGAAGTTAATTTTAGCCAATAATATAATTATAATATTCTCAATACCTTAAATTTGATTATGATGTCAATACTCAATGAATGGAGCAACGCTCTAACCGTCAGACAGTATATTTTCCATAGCTAAAGAGATGGTACTGGTACTGTATGCGTTCATTACCAGTATTGAACGCGTTCATTACCAGTCAAAGCGACGGTTCCCAACTTCTCGGCGCACACTGCACAGTACCGCGCTCGCTATTGACAAGTGACAAGTTATAGTTGTGTCGTGCGTTACGTTGAGCCTACTGTTGCTTTTGTACCTTTGAACATTGATCGTTTTAAACATTGAGTTTCAATCAGAAAATTTCATACTTCATGCGTTATATTCTATGGTGTATTCTGAATAAAATGACATTTTGAGTTAATTCATCAGAGAAGAGGCAGTTCAATCCACAAGTGCTTCATATATTGATCCAAGTGATAAATCATTACATGAGCATGTTAACGATTTATATTTGGGTGGACGTTGCATGAGAGAGTTATACATGCTTCCAATCGGGGAAAATCACGTTAGATTGAAAACGGATTGTTTGAAATTCTTAGTTAAGTCCAATGAGTTGTGCTTACAAATAAAAAAAAAAGATTCCCGTTAGAAGAAAATAGCATTGTTGCAAATTAACATATATTAGATTCCGCTGCCTCAAGAGATATTAGCTACTAAATCTCCCAGTTCCATAGGGAACGTAGCACAGAATTTTCCCCCATCTTGTTCCTGAGGATGTTCTTGACAAACTCGACGCTGAATGGAGGCTCTTTCGGCAGTTTAGCGATGTATCTTTAAAGTACACTTCAGTCCTTGGCTTCTGGCATTCACTGCGTAACATTAAAGACGGGATGAATCAACCAAAGTATGGAACTCTGTCTAGTTTTATGATAAATCTAACTACATTGACTCACTCATCCGCTTGTGTTGAAAGGATTTTTTCGCTCGTTAACCACGTTAAAACTAAGCAAACATACTCGCTTAAAACTGAGACAATGACAGAAAGATTATTAGCACGGCAGTTTCTTGCGAGGAAGCAACAGAATTGCTACACATGGAAGCCGAAACAAGAGTTGGTGAAAGACGTTGTAGATGGAACCTGCTTCCATATGATATGAACAGCGTCCTATACAAAAAAAAACAGAGAGAACATCAATTTAGCAGCAGGCGAACACTTATAATTCCATCAGAAGTAAGTAAAATTACAATGTTTTTGATGAAATTTGTCGTCTGGTTTTTTTTCCCACAAAATCTGCAGAATCTGGGTGTTTTTCAGCAACCATCTAAGTTTTTCTCAAATTGTTGGCTAGGAGCCCTGTGCGTGAGCACCCGCATTCACGAGGCTGTAGTTTGGTCTCGGTTGTTGTCGTGTCTGGATATAACGCTCACGAATACATAATAACAGGACACGGTGAACATTCGCTTGATTTTATATTGGCTTTTAAAGGTGAGCTTCTAAATAAGGAACTTAGGTAATTATGCGAAGATGCTATTTGATTATTTTCGTAGAAATTCATTATATATGAATAACCTTATCAAAATACCGTATACTTGGTAAAGTTGGTGATTAGGCAAGTCTTTGTGTTCGGTTTAATTTTGAAATCATTTGTTTGTATGATATTCATGACACGGATTGAATATTTCTGATCGGATTATTGCTCGGGTCGTGAGTCTCGTGGCAGGCTTTTGTTGCTCTGTCATGGTGAGTTCAGAGTTGAATGACCTGCAGTTTGAATTTCTGTCTCAACTTTAGAAACTCAATATTATTCGTGGCTCTTCGTAGATAGAGTCTAACTAATATTGGAAACACTTTCGAGGTAATTTATGGTTAATTAACCGATTAAAGCCTGATTCGGAGGAACTGGTCTCACACACTAACCACGACAAACTACTCAAAGTCTAAGGTATTCCGCAATTCAGTGCCCAGTGGAGCGCTTACCTCTTCCAGCTCCAAATCCTACCTACCTACCTACATATTTCCAAGTTCCGACTTCCAACTATTAATAACCAAGATTCACTGAATGGTATTGGTTAAATTTTATCTCGAGGTTCTTTTCGTTGTAATTATAGGTAAAGATAAGTTTGTTGATAAAATAGATAAAAAAGTAATTGTTGATAATAAAAGTAATTAAAAGTAATTGTTGAAGATAAGTTTTAACTTTTAAGCATGATGTATATAGCTAGGCCGTGCCGCCGAGCCGGCTGGCCGGCCGTTCTAGAGTCTCAACAACCTGTGGCGTGGGCACTGGGCTGTGATCAATTGATCATGTTCCAAAAAGGTCTTTATGAATCTTCCTATCTTATTATAGTCATATTATTCTGTTTTTATTTATTGCCAAATTTATTTTTCCTTGCATAAAGTTAGTGGGCCATGTGATGAATTTACCTATTCAATTTCTATTTGTTGAAAGAAATTTTGTATTAGTAGGTATATAGCATTATAGCTACTAGCTAGTTCAGTAGTTGTATGTAGCCTGTAAGATTTTTTTATGTGGGATTATAACCCGCCCAACACCCGCCCTCAGTACTGGCCCTACTACACCGTATACGGGTGAACCGTGTGAACCGGGGCGACTGTGGTGAACCGTGTGAACCGGGGTGAGTGGAGTGTACCGTGTGAATCGGGGTGACTGGGGTGAACCATGTGAACTGAGGTGGCTTGGGTGAACCGTGTGAACCGGGGTGAGTGGGGTGAACCGTGTGAACCGGGGTGACTAGGGTGAACCGTGTGAACCGGGGTGACTGGGGTGAACTGAGGTGGCTGAGTGAACCGAGTTAACCGGGGTGACTGGGGTGAACCGTGTGAACCGGGGTGACTGGGGTGAACCGTGTGAACCGGGGTGACTGGGGTGAACCGTGTGAACCGGGGTGACTGGAGTGTACCGTGTGAACCGAGGTGACTGTGGTGAACCATGTGAACCGGGGTGGCTGAGGTGAACCGTGTGAAGCGGGCTGGCTGAGTGAACCGTGTGAACCGGGGTGACTGTGGTGAACCGTGTGAACCGAGGTGACTGGGGTGAACCGTGTGTAACCGGAAACACCGCCGCGAAGTTGAAATATTTACGGGTAGCGTGCCGACTTGGTGTAGACTTGCGTACTGATCCTAAACACAAGGACTAAAGAGTCGCTCTTTGGTCCGGCTCTAAATTCCTTCGCGTTTGAGAGAGGAGGAATAAACTCAAGGAACTTTTCGTAGTTTACTGGTAATCTTCAGGCGAATTACAGGGTTCTTCATACGAGGCGCACAATTTATTATACGTCTCCGTCCAAAAGTTCACGGAAAAGGCTTGACACTTCAGGAGTACAAACAGCCGAGAAACCACGCAGTGTGAGCCCTAATACATAGCAGAGAATAACAAAATGGAAAGCAAATGGTACGGGAACTGGTTGCACCGAGATGCCAACAACCTGCCGCAGAGACTAGGGGTTCTAGCCCTAATGCACTGCAAAGTTCCGATTACTCTCGAGCGTGGAAGGTGTTAACTCCCACAACACGAGAGGCGCGAACGGTGCCTCAGAAAGCTGTACCAGAACGCTGACAAATATGCTCGAGTGCAGAGGTTAATAGCCCCACAACACGAGAAGTGCTCAGCACAGGAGCTACCCGTACCAGAGCGCTACCATCAACTGATACTAACCAAGAACTCAAACTATACCGTAATTACTCCGTCAGAGTTTCTCATTTCAAGCTAGCTCCAGACCTACGGTGCGGTTAATTCATGGAAGCTCAGATTTAGCAAGTTGACATTATATCGAATCATGTGCACCCCAACCCAGTAACACTGAGCACACACAACTTTCCCGCGAGGGGTAACTCAGCTAAATTGAGCTTATCTCAGTACCCCGTTTACAATGTACAAGAAATAGGCTGATAAAAACATCTATATGTAAAAATATGGATAATATAATATATCACAATAAAATAGATTCATAATATAATCCTTGGGTCAAATAATGGTAAGTGAAAGTTGATATAAGATAGAATAACACTCTAGGATAATTAACTCGCGAGCGCGTGAGTCGATACCAGTTTGTCAATAGACTAGACAAATGAACATTGACAAAGCATTATCAAATACAATGAGAAGTATTATCACCTAGTAAAATCATGGTAATAAAGAGTTTAACCTTTTGACAGCATGACTACAAGTTATAAACGACTTCTTATAGAACATCTACCTCTAAAATGTCTAGCTTTCCTAACGCAAGATGGCGGCGTAGCAGTCTTTACTTTAGCGATGGTATGGTAGGTTGACAGCACTGGTTCTCGGACAACAGCAAATGATTACTATTATCACAAATGAATAAAGCCCTTCGACAAAATAATTGCACATTAAAGCGAATAAATCATAGTTCAAGTAATAATTTACGATAAACATATTATAGAAATAAGTCTAAACGTGTCAGGGCTAGCAGACGACGCGTGGCGCCTAGCAGACGATTGCAACGCTACGCTACAGACAGATAATATCACAGCAAAGGAGATTCCTTGTTTCAATCACGAAATAAAAATATGCTATCTCATTCCTTAGTCGTACAAAATAATATCATAGTAACGAGATTCTATATTCTAGTCATATAAATATATACAATCATATTGAGTCACTAATCTATCAAAAGAACATCATCAAAATAACACGTGGTCAATACGGTGCTCCCAAAAATAAAAAAAATATCACATAATATGCATCCCGTCACACGTGTGATTAACCGGGGTGGCTGGGTGAACCGTGTGAACCGAGGTGGCTGGGGTGAACCGTGTGAGCCGTGGTGGCTCGGGTGAACCGTGTGAACCGTGTTGGCTGGGGTGAACCGTGTGAACCGTAATGGCTGGGGTGAACCGTATGAACCGGGGTGGCTGAGATGAACCGTGTGAACCGTGGTGGCTGGGGTGAACCGTGTGAACCGAGGTGACGGGTGAACCGTGTGAACCGTGATGGCTGGGATGAACCGTGTGAACTGAGGTTACTGGGATGGACCGTGTGACCCGAGGTGGCTGGGGTGAACCGTGTGAACCATGGTGGCCGGGGTGAACCGTGTGAACCTAACCTAACCGTGGTGACTGGGGTGGACCGTGTGAACCGGGGTGGCTGGGGTGGACCGTGTGAACCGTGGTGGCTGGGGTGAACCGTGTGAATCGTGGTGGCTGGGGTGAACCGTGTGAACCATGGTGCGTGGTGTGAATGTCGGTAACTGTGAAACCTGGTGAAATTCGAGTGGACCGACATGTTGGAAGTTAACCGTGAACCATGTGGCGGCGGTATGCGTCATGTGGCGGCGGTATGCGTCATGTGGCGGCGGTATGCGTCATGTGGCGGCGGTATGCGTCATGTTGCGGCGATATGTGTCATGTGGCGGCGGTATGCGTCATGTGGCGGCGGTATGCGTCATGTTGCGGCGATATGTGTCATGTGGCGGCGGTATGCGTCATGTGGCGGTCACTATAGTATCCCAACAAAATGGAATTCAAATAACCTCACCATATTATACCATTATTATATATTATTATTTTTATTATTATTATTATACTCAGAACCTCACCATATTATACCAACGGGCCACAATGGCTCCTCATTGATATCTATAACATTCCCATGTAATGATTAAATTTGTTAAACTAACAATTGGCATCACGGATCACAAACGAATCAATCAATTTTGATATGATAGTGATAAACTAAAAAATTCCAGTGCAATTTACGGTAAATAATTATGAATCACGAAACAATACATTTTTTCGTGATAGTGATAGACTAAAAAATTTCAGAGTAATATACGTTAAATAATTATGAAAAAAATTTCAGTCCGGAAGACGGGTTCGAGAACGACAGGTTGCCGTACGATTACACGAGCATCCTGCACGCGACGTCGCAAGTGCGACCCGACGTCGTTATCGACGTAACCAAGCCAGCCGTCACCAGGAACGACGGCTTGAATGGTAGTTAAGTGGTTTATTTTCAACTTATAAAAAACTTAGGTGGTTTTAATGTACGTAACCAAGCCAGCCGTCACCAGGAACGACGGCTTGAATGGTAGTTAAGTGGTTTACTTTCAACTTAAAAAAACTTAGGTGGTTTTAATGTACTTAGCCAAACCAGCCATTACCAAGACTTGAATGACTTCTAACAGGTTAAGTTTTTTCCACAAAACATAGTCATATTTAAGAACTTAAAAACAAATAAAATGTAAATTAAACTTACCATATCCTTTATTCCGTTGTCATTTCTTGTTCTAGGTTTTAATCGTTTTGTGTATATTTGGATTTTCATTGCAGATTGTACTTCCAATAAAATTTAAAATTCCAATAAATTTATTAAACTGGTGATTGAGCTGCATGGTCTCCGGAACATTTTCATTGAAGATATGATGACTTTATTTGACGTTTTTTCTTTGCTTTTAACTTCTTGGTGAACTTGCAAAAAAAAATCGAATACTCCAGGGCATCTTTGTACTGACTTGCAGACCTCGGGCAACGTTCGTACCTTACAGACTTGGACGTGCAGCGCATTACAGACCGCTACTCCTGCGAGGTCTGCAGCAAGCCAGGCAGCGGTGAGTTGATGACAATGTCTTCATCAAACCGATTATTTTATTTAACTATTATTTTGACATTAATTCTGTTATTTTTAATACTTTTATCCATAATCTATTTACATTATATTCTCCTGCTCCATATTTCGTTTTGATTTATTGAGACATTTTGCTTTTAATTATCTAAGTTAACCTCAAATTAATCCTTTAGTTTGTTAAAAGTGATGCATCTAATCATTTATCATAATATGATAGGATTCATAGGTGCATTATTTCAAATAAATTGATTGGGTGTCTTTAAATTGTTTAATGATCTCGTTTAAATATTCAAGCATACTTTTCACAGATGATGTTCTATACGAATATCCTGGCGACTGCACCAAGTTCATTCAGTGTTCGAATGGCCAAGAGTTCGTGATGCAGTGTCCTGACGACCTCCACTTCAGCGTACAGCAGCAACAGTGTCTCTATCCTGGAGATGCTAAATGCACTATCTACTACTCTACACTGTAGAGTAGTACTCTACCAGAGCTGGGCAGCGCTACTTTGAAATGTAGCGGCCGCTACCGCTACCGCTACATGCTCTAAATGTAGCGGGCGCTACCGCTACCACTACACCCAATAGATTGTAGCGGGCGCTCCCGCTACCGCTACAGTAAAATGTAGCGCCTCTACATTAGCCGCTACAATGGCCAAAATTATTGGAAATCTCTAAATATTTATTGTTCTGCTATTGGGATTTACTCATAAACATTTAATGATACTAAAATATTTTCAAAACATATCAATGCAACTTTATTGCAATTAACCTAACCGAAATAGTACGGGTTAGATACAGAAAATAAAAGTTAGTTATTTTTATGTTTTACCTTCCCTATATGGATGTCTACTTTAATCTACCAATCTCAAAAATTATCCACATATACATATAAAAAATCAGTCTTTAATTTGTATATATATGTGGATAATTTTTGAGATTGGTAGATTAAAGTAGACATCCATGTAGGGAAGGTGAAACATAAAAATAACTGTGTATAAATAACTGTAAGCAAACTGAAACATGAAAAAATACCTGTAAGTGGTAACTGGTAACAACTTAACAAGTAACAACTAACATGTTGACACTAGTAACAGGCTGAGGTTGACAACATTACACCGAAATCTTTCGTACAGTTTTATTCTGTAATTTATATTATGTATGTTATAGTATGTATTATGCTGGTTTTTAAATAATATTTCATACCATTAAGTAAAATTTAAAGGCTTTATCTATAAATGTAGCGGTAGCGCTGTAGAGGCAAAACCTCGTATCGCTACTTAAATATGTAGCGGGCGCTACCGCTACCACTACATTTGCTTAAATGTAGCGCCGCTACCGCTACCGCTAATGGAAATGTAGCGGCCACTATTAGCGGCCGCTACATGTGCGCGCTACTGCCCACGTAAGAGGTAAGAGGTGAGAGGTAAGAAGTAAGAGGTAAGAGGTAAGAGATAAGAGGTAAGAAGTAAAAGGTGAGAGGTAAGAGGTAAGAGGTAAGAGGTGAGAGGTGAGAGGTAAGAGGTGAGAGGTAAGAGGTGAGAGGTAAGAGGTGAGAGGTTAGAGGTAAGAGGTAAGAGGTAAGAGGTAAGAGGTAAGAGGTAAGAGGTAAGAGGTAAGAGGTAAGAGGTAAGAGGTAAGAGGTAAGAGGTAAGTGGTGAGAGGTAAGAGGTAAGAGGTAAAATGTAAGAGATAAGAGGTAAGAGGTAAGAGGTAAGAGGTCGGTGCAAGACATCGTGATGTCGACATTATTTTTCTTGCATAATGTTGCTTCTTGAATTTACAGTGTTTGTATACTATAATCATTAAAATAATCCCTTATAATATGGAAGGTGTGAATATTCCTTTCAAATAATTTCGCCGGCTATATTGGCGCAATGCTAACAGCGTACGACTGGTAGGCCTGAGTAGACGCGATACGATAGGAGGATTGATTTGTCATAGTCTCTCCCTGAATTAATTGATAGAAAATTATTGAGATGTGATGCTTCATAATGATTTTGTTACCAGGAGCTGCAATAAAAAATACTTTGGTATGCCGTCCGAAAAAATTTCGTTAATTGATATTTTATTGGCGATCAGAATATTGTCATTGTATTTAATTTTGTACGAATCCATCAATATATTTTCATAAATGATTTTATGGATAGTTAATTCGAAAGACATGAGTATAATTCATTCTCTGGCTTTGAGATTTTTTTCTAATCTTCATCTGATTAGAAATCACATACTAATGTATAGTGTCAGATAGAAGTTGGGGAAAACTGAAAGTGATAGTCGTATAGCAGATTTCCGTCTAAGTATGGCAGACTTTGATTCGTGCGCTCTACCACCGGATTACGAAAACGAGACGTTATTTGATGAATTAGCTCTAGTGCAGTCAGCCAAATAACGGGGTCGGGATAGGCAAATTCTATTTAGTATATTTCAAATGGAGAAAATATCAGGATAATACGATAACAATGCTCGTAATATGTGAAACATTTGCCAATTTTCATGATAACTCAATCAGTTACTTAAGTTTATGATGCACGTACGATAGTCACTGTTAACGAAATCACCGATAGAAGCGCTCCAAATGCTCAGTAAATCTTTATAGGAAATGAAGAATATCTCTACGAATTTGTAAAATATATATGTAGAAAATATTTTCAACTTTAGGAGCTGAAGGAAAAGGAGATAGAGATCTGAATAATTTAATGAATATTTTCTTATAATAAGAGGATTATTTAGATGGGACTAAAACTTAAGGAGACGCAGGAGATAATGACTTATAAAATTTATTGAATAATTCCATATTATTGTATGGTTATTTAGACGCAGATTTAAACTTAAGGAGGTGAAGGAAAGGAAGGAGTCAGTGACCTAAATAATTTATTGAATAATTTCTTATTATTGCAGGGTTATTTAGACGGAGATTTGATGGTCTCCCCTAGCCAAGCGAGGTAGGGGGCGCTGCCCCCCGTTACCTGGGGGGGGGAGGGGGGAAGAGGGGATAAAATGAACAACCTATTAATAATTAAAAAAAATGATATGCGTTTAAAAATTATTTTTTAAAGACAACATTTCTAAAGAATCTGGTGCCTCTGGTGTTCCACATGTACATTGAATTTCTAAATTTTATTATGAAATATTAAAAAATTAATTTTGTAATTTTATTTCTAAAGTTAAAAAAATTAAAATTTTTCAAAAGTATTTATTCTGTCAATTGATACATGCATTATCTCCAACTTTACGCAAGGGTGCAATATTTCAGATCGATTGGACAGGTTTAATTGTGTTAAATACTTATTATAAGTATTTAACATATTACAAATATTATTTTATTATTATTTATTATTATTATTTACCATTATTTAACATATTATAATAAATATTATTTGTAGCAGACAGAAGAGAAGTGAAGTTAAAGAGAAGTGTTGTAATAAATTAGCGCTCAGTTAATAACTGATATAAATTCTTGCGCTTTATTTTTCATGCATGGGAGCAAAATATAAACTTGATATCATGAATATTTGTCTAATAACAACGGAATTATTAATAATAACGGTAATAATATACGTTAACAATAACTATTGATATTTAACGCTGATAATAAAGAAGTTACACCGAATATTTAATCGCTTGTACCTCCACATCATGAACGCAGGACAATTTCTGTCCTCCTGCGTACCTCCACATCATGAACGCAGGACAATTTCTGTCCTGCGTACCTCCACATCATGAACGCAGGACAATTTCTGTCCTCCTGCGTACCTTCACATCATGAACGCAGGACAATTTCTGTCCTGCGTACCAAGGATCTTCACTGACTCATAGGGACGCATGCGGTTCCACGCTAAGCGGTACCCGTGCTGTCATTGTACTTTCATTGCCATGGAAATTTTAGAATTAGCAACAGAAATATAGAATTGGTGAAAATTTATAGCTATTTTCTCTCTTTTAATTATTATTTGGCCATCAACGCTCGATAGGCCTGCGCCTGCTGTTGAATACCTGCTGATACATGGGCCGACTGTTGATTTTAACGGCATTTAACGCGTTGACTACGTATTGGTACATATGCGTACCACGAAATGTATTTCTCCAGGAGGTAGTGGTACATAATTCAGGTTGCCTAAAATCGGCCAAATCCGAGAACAAAAAGGCCAAAAAAGTCCGGTAATTCAATGTATACTAGTTTATTTGTAGGCTCCGCTATAAAAATTCTATTTATTTTCTTTTTGCAGTATTTAAAATTTAATTAGGAAGTACCCCTATCATAAATTTTAGCCGGCTAACGCAATTGAGAAAAATTAATCACGGAATTTGCCCGGAAAAAATGACCGTCTGGCAACCCTGCTTAAATAAGTACAAAAAAATGAAATAATAGTACAAGATGAAGCAATCGTAGTCACATGCTAAGCAAGGCTCTCAATGCAACCGTACAAGACTCTCAATACTCTATAAACTTGATGGCTTCGCAGCCTTTAAAATCATGCGTTAACTCGTTTTAAAATTATCCAACTATTATTTGTAACGCGTTGACTCTCGTCCGTGGATACTGCTGACGTATAAAAATTTGATGGCTAACTAATGAAGTTTTACGATGATACTGTTATTGTCTTGCACAGAATTTTTAACACATTTCAGCATCAACGTAAAAAAGGCGACCATGATCTTTCATTGTAACTTCTCATGTTTAATTCTTGAATTTATCTCTAATGTTGACTTCCTTCACTTCGTGTGTTTTAATTTTCAGTACATAATTCAAAGTTCGTTCGTTCTCATACATCAAGTTACTTGTGCACTCGTGTGCCAGCATCGCTTACATTCCCAGTTTTTAATTGAAATTCTACCGCAATCAACACAAGTGATCATTGAAGCTATTTGGTTCCTTTAAAACCTACCTACTTTCTTCAAATTCTATGTGGCAAGAGTTGATGCATTGCAGCGCTGGCCGACTAACTATGACACGTCACGACCAATTGGGAATAAGTCGCGACCTTTACATTCTTAGACCTGCAGAGCCTGTATAATTAAATTTTTTAATTAACTTATTTATAAATGCCATTAATTAATTTGCTATATATATAGTAAAAAATTACTGAACTTTACGAAAGATTGATAACTAACTTCATTATTTTTGGAGTGGATCACAATAAACCGGAAACAATTGTGTCATTTGACGCAGGACTCACCAATTATTTCTAACACTGAGAGGTAATCCTTGCCGCAATATCCTGCATAACAAGCATCAGTTATCATGAACGCAGGACAATTTCTGTCCTGCGTACCTCCACATCATCAAGCAACAGAAATCTAGAATTGGTTAAAATGTATAGTTATTTTCTCTCACTAATTTCATAATTTTATTACATCAATGCTCGATAGACCTACGCCTGCTGTTGAATACCTGCTGAATCATCGGCATACTGTTGATTTTAAGGGGAGCGTCTGGGCAAAATTTTATCTCGGCTGTTCACAGACGAATCACTCTGAAACTTGGTACACATATGTAACACAGAAAAATAGACAGCTTTTATTCATG